TGATAATCCGTGTTTCTTAAGGTTAGAAATCATGCTAGCAGTGGTATGAGTTCACTAAGAAATGGTAACACTTAATTAAATCTAATAATGGAAATATTAAACAACAAAAAAACTGATTATTCAATTACTGTTATATTATTATGATGATTATTATTATATTATTATGAACATAGACAAGACGGAGGTTATCAAAATAACCAACCAACCAACAACAACAACAACAGAAGCAACATCCAGCGCCAAACACCATCAATGGGAGGGATTTGAAAGAGGTTACTTCATTCACTTATCTAGGGAGCATTGTCTCAACTACACGAGGAACGGACGAGGATGTCAAATCGAGAATCGGGAAGGCGAGAAACACATTCATCAACCTGAAACCAATCTGAAAATCTTCGTCACTCAGCATCAACAACAAAATTCGGATTTTCAATACAAACGTCAAGTCAGTTTTGCTAAATGGATCAGAAACTTGGCGGGTCACAAAGAATATTTCCAACAGCCTGTTGCAGACCTTTATCAACAACTGTCTTCGCTCTATACTGAAGATCAGATGGCCGGAAAGAATCACCAACAAGAAATTATGGGAACAAACGAAACAAGAACCAATCGCTCAAGAAATATGCAGGAGAAAGTGGAGATGGATTGGACACTCAGTAAGCTGAGGAGGCCGCTGGGTGACATCGCGCGTCAGGCCAACGCTCGTGTGGAACCCGAAAGGGAAGCTGTGAGTGTGACGTCCAAGGGTGACATGGAGGGGATCGCGTGAAGAGGAGTTGAAACAGTATGGAATAACATGGATGCAGGTGAAAAGTACAGCAGAAGACAGAAGCAAGTGGAGACGTGTAGTTGAAGCCCTATGTTCCACTAGGAACCCAAGGGAACAATAATAATAATTATTATTATTCCCTTTAGTGCAGAGTGGAACATACGATTTCAACAATATGTCACCAATTTTTCCTATTCTCTGAAGGCATCTTCAAGTGGTCCCACCATTGTCCATAAGCTTTCATCTCCTCCTCATGAGATCTCCTCTACGTCATCTTCAAATTCAGCAGGTCACCACAATGACATTGACTAGTGGGCGCGATATATCGTGAATTGGCTGAAGCTAGAATTCATGCACTGGCCATCGAGTCAGGTCCCAGTGGCTGAATGGTCTATGAGCTCGCCTCGTAATCAGAGGGCTCTATGTTCAAAAACTGCTGGTGGGTGCTTACTACTGAAGAGTCCAAAACTTGCGTGACGAAACAGCTATCCAGTACTCCTAGATTTTCCGATAGTTGTGTAACCGATGTCAGCTCATGATGAAATCCTGAAATGAATATTCTCTGTTCACTAAATTTAGTGTCGTGATATTTATGATGAGCATCTTTAATGAATTAAAAATTTATAAAGCATAATTAATATCTGCTGACGTTCACAGATTTTAATGCCTCTAACTAACAGATTACGTCAAACTCTAAATGAATAAAGAGTACTGGTGAAATTAAATTGGACGATAGGAACTTTGAACTTTCCTGAGTGTCTTTAAAAAAGACAAAGTGACGGAAAACTAAAGTTCACAATATACAATAAAAACCGACACATTCGAAGAAATATTTGGATTTCCAATCATACCGTCCAACAAGAATGAAAGTTTCAATAGCTTTAAATCTCTTAAACAGAGCTAGAAACATTACAACAGATAATGATGATATGGAGAACGAGATCTCTAACACGAAACAAATATTGATTGAAAATGGTTATCCTAAAAAGCTTCTAAATAATATTACCGATAAATGGGTGAGAGGGGAAAAAAGAAAATTGAAAAATCTTGAGCATCGACGATAGCTATTCCATATCGAAAAGACACGGCTGAACAACTTCAAACAGTACTTCTTTTTTTATTTCCTTCACGTTCCCCAGTGGAACATAGGGCTTCAAGCTAGTGGCTTGAAGTTTCTGTAGCAGTGCTTATTTTACAGGATGGGGTTGCTAGCCTCATGCCCAACCTTTCCTCTTCACCAACTTTAGTTCTGGCTTAGCGAGGTAAAGGAGTGCGTCGGCCGGGGATCGAACCCCGGACCATGTGCATGATCGGCGAGCGTCCTAACCACTATTCCACCGACGCACTCAAACAGTACTTACATCATATAATATTAAAGTCTATTTCAAACTCTTTAATTCTTGAGAGAAGGCTTTGGTGAATGTCAAAGTTATGTTTTCCATTGTGACATAAAACAACTGTGTTCAGAATTTGAAGCTTGCTATATAAGCGACATCAGTATACAGGTGAGGGTCAGAGTCAATGAACACAGGCTACGCACGAAGCCTCCACCTAGAAATGAATTAGAATTAAAGAGTCTATAAAAAGATCAGCTATAGCAATGCGTGCTATCTACAGACAGTGGACATAATATTGATTTCAACAATGTTGGAATTCTAGGAAGAGGCTTTCATTCAACACATAAAGAAAGGTTGACCTCTGAAGCCTTGCGTATTTTAGCCACATTGAATTCAGTAAACACGAGAGAAGGGATAGTCTTATCACCTATTTGTTAGACTCTAATGAAACAAAACAGATTAGGGGAAAAACGAGATATATTCAATCCTGTGTTGTGGTCTCTGCAAAAATAGTATCCTGTTTTGACGTGTTTTTCATGTAACAGACGACATGCACGAATATGTACATATGACTATATGACGTTAGTCATTACAAAATGTGATAACCGTTCACGCATTCTTCTATTGACACAAATGTTTGCCCACAGGTGTTCTTCACAGGAATCCCCTTCAGTTTATGTTGATGATCAATAAAATCCGAATTTTCGGTATTAGATGGTTGGAGGCAATCGTCAGGAATCCGTCGACCTAGGTTTCGTACTATTTGGCATTTGCCACCAAGGCGTATCTGCGATCTTGAAGGATCTCATGTCCCTTCTGGGATTCGAACCCACAGCTGTGACTTACACAGCGAAACGTTCAGAAAAATATTGTTTAATGATTTTTTTTCTTAAAAACACTGGGAGTATTTGAAATAATTTATTAATGATTCAGAAGTTTATGATGTTCTAGTATGTGACTGTTGTGCGTCGGTGGCACGGCGATTAGGACATTCGCCAGCCAATCACATGGTCCGGATTTCGACCCCCGGTCGACGCACTCCTTTACCTCACTCAGCCAGAAATAAAGCTGGTAAAGAGGAAAGGTTAGGCATGAGGCTAGCAACCCCATCCTGTAAAAATAATCACCACTGCTACAGAAACTTCAAGCTTCTAGCTTGAAGGTGCCCTATGTTCCACTGGGGAACGTGATGGAATAAAAAATAAAGTATGTGCCTGTATATTTTATACTCAAAAATATTTGGTCATATTTGTTTGAATGCACTTTTAATGATTATTTGTGCTCAGTGATAAAAAAAGTAATAATTTCATAATTACTCATGAAAATGTACTATGAGTGAATATTAATCAAAGGCGGGCATTTTCTATAATGCACTCTTATTGATCATGGTTAACTATGTACTCCTGAATCTCTAGTGTATCTTTTAACCTAAGCGAGGTGGGAGGGGGGTAAGTTTGAGTGCAGGATGCGAAGTGGACTGGTTAGTTAAGAAAAAAGAAGGAGAGAGAGAGTGACACCAGTAGACAAGTTTGTTGACATTTAGCTGACAGAAAAGACCAACAAACAGAGATTGGACGCAAAGAATAATAAAAGCAATAACATCGAATCAAACAATTCCAACAGTGGTGTGAACATGGGCAGTAATTTTGCTCGAAATATTACCAATAACAAAACTTATCATTGTGTGTAAACTATTAAAATATAATTATACTTTGTAAAAAATGATATTTGTAAAATCTCAGCGAGATTGAAATGAGTAATTCCAACGTTTCGTTCGCCAATCTGGTCCGAACTTCTTCAGGGAAATTAATCGAAATGAACATAACATAGGTTTATATAAAAGGGACATCACTTGTTTTTAAAAATTTGTCCAATCATGAGTCATTCAACAAGTATAATCAACAAAATTTTATGAGCTGTGATCAAAATTTGACCTCGGACTTACAAATATTGGTCTACCTTTGTTAAACACTTTAAACAGAGTGTGTATGTGTGTGTGTGGGGGGGGGGTAAACAGTTGTAAAACATTTCTTAACGTCTCCATAAGAAGATATGGACAGTCGAGAACTTTGACCAAGTATTAATAATTGGTGATACATATCCATTTTTATTTATTAATCAGGATTTCTTATGCATCAACTAACATCACACCTTCATGTCTGTTCAAACTGTTAGTGTATCTAGAATTTTTATGATTAGACGTATTTTCAAAATAATTTTCAAAATAAATCTCGCTGAGATTTTACAAATATATTTTTTTTACAAATGTCTACTTCTCACTCGGCGCTCAAATATTTTAGAACTATTCTGTCAAATCTTGACGACAGTTCATTTAATTATACTTTATTTCATCTAATCCACCACAGTGCTCAAACATTTTACTGATATCAATAACATCTTTATTCTGGACAGTATTTATAAAATGTACAGAATTTTCACCGGAGTCAATTGGATTATATTTCCTTTTCTTCCAGTGTCTTCAAATGTAACACTAGTTGACAGTAGATCGTGTGACACAGTTCTTCCTATTTGACCTGAATTGCGAACCAATCCATTATATAATATCTCTTTTTTGTCTCCTGCGAGAAATAAACGACATTTAGATGAATGAGAGTCAGCAGGTTGTAGATGTTTTAAATACTGAAAATACTGCTGGATGTCATAGTGAAACGGCATAACTTGATATGCTTATGAGCAATAGTTTGTGCTCGAAACGTCATCAGTTAATATTACTGTACAACACTGTGTGATTTTATCAAAATAAAATCTTATCCATTATGGAATAAATTATATACAATATATTGATGGATATTTTCGCTAGCCCAAGTATTAACTAGACTGCCTTCACCTTATCAAATGTGCTGGTTATTTTGTCTGTTTTTTGTTTTTTTTAGTTTCAATTGTTGACAGTCCAAAACATGACACTGATGAATCATCTAACTATCAGTTGGTGGATGATGTTACACAACTGCAAACCTCAGCGCCTAAAATGAGTTTGGTCAAACCACAGTGTGAAACAAGTGAAGTGATTGAGACAGAAAAAGAGAATACAAGCCCAGTTAGTCTAAAGTAAGTGAGCTTAAAAAACAAAATTGCTCTGAAGTATGTTACTTTAAGTCATTTGTGATGCACAATCATATAAGTCGTGATCTTAAAATGCCTTAAATAAAGTCTACAATTTCTAGAAACAACGCAACCTAATCGCTATGTGATCTCGATAATGAGGATCAGATGACCGGAATGGACAGGTAACTAGGAACTCCAGGAACGAACCAACTAATTATGTATCGACCAAGAAATATGCTGAAGATGATGGAGATGGATCGGTGGAAACACACTGGAAAGACTATTGAGGGACATTATACTCTGGGCAGGCCCTCGACTGGAACCCAAATTGGAGGCAACGAGTTGAGCACTGATCTGAGAGTGACATGAAGCAGATCGTTTGATGAGGAAATGAAAGGTTATGGGCAACCATGCAGCCAACTCAAAAGAACTGCAGAGAACAGGGTTATATACAATTATTATTTTATTCCTTTACGTTTCCAATGGGACATATGGCTTCAAGCTAGGGCTTTGAAGTTTTGGTAGCAGTAGTTTTATTTTCACGAGATGGAATTTCTAGTCTCAAGTCCAGTCTCCCCTGTTTGCCGGGCTTATTACCGGCTTAGCGGGGTTTGGGAATGCGTCCGCCGGGAATCGAACCCTGGGCTATCTGAGTGACTGGCGAGCGTTCTAACTCTGCACAACAGACGCACTATATATGTGCAAATAGTACACTTGCATAACGACGAAAGGAATGTTTCCAAAGATGTGTGGCAATTACGTAATACAGGAAGCGTTGATGGAGTAAATTGATCGACAGGATGGAACGGAGTTCAAATAAAATTGCAAATGGCATCATGCTAAGATCAGTATCTTAAGGAATAGAAACGTATTAGTGGAAGAGCACAAAAATAATAAAATGAAACATTAGACTTACCAAAAATCACGTATCAAGTCCTGGGACTAATAAAGTCCATTGTAGAAGAGTCGAAGCATCTATCGTTTGAAGAAGTTCCATTCGTACTCATTTGTCAAAATGTCCTTATTCTCTGTAGATGAATCTAAATTTGATTTGCGGGTTCTCACCATGTCCAGAATCGACAAATACTCTAGAATAGAAGTGTAGAGGCATTTCCATCCCCCTCTATACAACCGTGAGTGTAAGTGTTTGATGATGATACACTCGCATATTAAACGCTGAGTACGGTCAATGCGAGTAACTCCACAGGAACAAATGAACTGATAGATGCACACTGATGAGGTCAGCAGAAGTAAATTGTCCTCCACGTTCAATATGAACGATTGAATTTGAAGAGAAAGTAGGCCGGCATTCAGCTGAAAAGCTTTTGATTCCTTTTGTTGTCATTATTATGTATTATAAACCGCTGAAAAGAACACCCATTCGTTTCTAGACCTCTCCACCATTGTAGATTATTTGCCAGATAAACAATTCTGTTGCAAGTACTGTAAGTGCAGAACACAAGAGTCGTTGATAACGGAGCGTTTACTCGTAATTTCATATGCACAGATTTTCTATAGTTGGTTTGTAAGGGTTAGTTTTGTTTTTACGGGTTGATCACGCATTGATATCAGTGTGAGAACCATTGAAAACCACGGAGTACCAGACAGCTGTTTCATCCTAGTTTGAAAATTATTGGCAGCACGCACCCATTGCCGCCAGGGTTCGAACCCACGACCTTCCAGTTACAAGGCAAGCTCGTATAGCATTCACCCACTAGGACGCGATTCAATGACCCATGAATTCTAACCTCTACCAATTCGTGACTTAGCACGACCCCAACCAATGTCGTCAGACAGACGTCCATCCTCAAACTTGACTGGATGGAGTTCACTGGTCACGACTTCTCACCAGAACTCCGATCGGTCGGTCGGTTTTCGACATAGAACTTTGCACATATGTGCGGCAGTTCAAGTCACCACACTCCGTCCATGCAGCACGCAAAGCAAGAGAAGAAAGTAGAAGAAATGCATAATATAGTCAGTAAACAGAGGTGTGAGACAAAGGTATAGTAATAACGGAGAAGAAAACAGTTCCATTGGAAATCATAAGTCACAAGGAGTGGATACATCTGCACCAGTCACTGAGAACGATTTTGAGCCATGTCACCGATTGTTTCCAACCATTGGTTTCTACCGTCCCGAGGACCCCAACCAGTGATCAAGTCTACACCTTCCTACGTGGCGTGGACTAACTGTTGTAGATTTCATTGACTGGTCCCATGTTTTCGTTTGACCGCCGCTAGCTCTTTTCCAGCCTGACCCTATATCAGCTAACATTGCCCTTCGGTCGAGGAAGGCGATGACTAGGCATACGTAGCACATGTCGATGTAATTTCACAGTCTCGTCTATTGATTTGCCCCACCTTACCTAGCACTCGACCGAAGCCTAACCTCAATATTGCTCACCTTATTATATCACTTCACACGGAAGATAGAACGCAGACACTTATGATCAAAGACAGCTAATCTTTTCATGTCTTCTGCTCTCAATGGCCAGGTCTCACAGCCATAAAGGAGGACGGAGTGGTCTGTTGAGCAGTACACACGCCCTTTGGTCAATAGTCGGGTATCGCGTCTACTCCATGAAACTCCGCCCTGTAACATGTCACTGGCGAAAATAAAAAATAATTTTCTACAGTTTGGTTTGTAAAGATTTGTTTTATTTTAACGAGCTTCGCTACAGGATGGAGTTTCCTTGAGTTCTAGTGAGAAGTCGTGACCAGTGGTGTCTACACAGTCACGTGTGAAGATGGATGTCCCACAGAAGACATTGGTTGGGATCGCTCTAAATCACGAATTGGTAGAAGTTAGAATTCATGAGCCATTCAATCGAGTCCCAGTGGCTGAATGATAAACGAGCTTGCCTTATACACGTATGTAGTGATATTATGTACACAATGTAATAAAATTGTCATTTGCTTGGATCTTCTACTCTCGTATTGTGTATCTTCTTTTTCTTTTCGTGTCTTTCATGTTTTACCGTAATGCTGGTTCATTTTCTCGCTTTGACGTCAAATCTATCTCTCCGCTATTTGACATTTTTGTATGCCGATGAACATTCCTTTGCATACTACTGATAAATCTTGTTAGTAGCACACGTCACACTATCTCATTCAATGGATTTTTATCCAAATAAGATTATCATTATGGTTGCAGAAGTATATTCTAGTATATGAGTTACTTTTATCCGTTTTGTTTGTGGGAACACTTAAAGGCGAAGGTACTTCTGAAAAAGGCTACAATCGAAAAATATTCTTAGTTACGAAGAAGTATATATCTGTTCAGTTCTTTGATTTCTAAGTACTGAAATGAAGAACAGTTAACTAACAGGAAGCTGTAATTCACCTCAGCTTCTTGACTGTTTGTATGTACCAAAAGAGCGTATTCCTCAACCTTAATCAAGCCAATATGCGTCTACCTCTCTACTAATCATTGAGGTTATAGGTTTTAGTAATTAGCTTCTTAAATCTGCAGTGCAAACCCTCATAGATCCAGAGCGTATCTCTGTGTTGTGTCCGTTAGCTCCCATTCACGAAGATTTCATGCAAAACTAAAGATTTGTGAGCTACAACATCAGTCACCAACAAATTTGGTCATCTCATGAAGACAGTCGTTGTACTGAGCAAAGAAGTCATTTTATCTGAAAGTGTTGGTCTTTGCAAGTATTTGATTGATTTCAAAACTGATTACGAATTGAATTCAGTTAGAGAACCATTCAAAATGAGGGAGTACCACTAAACAGTTGTTTCGTCCTTGTTCGAGACTCTTCACAGTACACATCCGTGGCCATACTACAGATCGAATCCAGGACCTTCAGGGGCTTGTTGATCATTTAGCTACTCGGCAGGAAATCCAGTAACCCGTCGATTCAAACTTGTGTTGCGCAACCGCCAGCCAATGTCTTCAGCAGGTCCTTATCCTCACATCCAACTTATTGGATTCCATCGGTGACGACTTCTCATTGCAACTTTAAAAAACTTCATCTTGTAGGCAGTCACCATTGAGAAATAACTTAATTCTCATGTGCTGGTTCGCAGAGATTCGGTTGGTCTCAGTGGTCGTGCTATGTGTCGACAAATCGGTCGAAGTTGGAATTGGTGGGCCATTGGATTCCGTCCCAGTGGCTAAATGATTGAACCAGCTCGCTTTGTAACCTCTGGGGTTCCTAGATTCCGTATTTGGTCGGGTTATGAGTGAGTATTGTTGAAGAGTCACGAACACGGGGGCGAAACAGCTGTCCAGTACTCCTTCGTGTGTCACTTCGTGTGCAAACTTGAAATCGTTCTATTTAATTTGTAATACTGTGAGGAAGTTGCATAAAACAAAACCCACGTACTTAGCTATCTCATCCTTTTCTACTTTTTTATTTACAGAGATTTAGTAGATTATTTGCAAAATACAGATAACTGGCCAAATGAATTTTATATTTATCATTTTCTAAATAAACCGAATACCTCCTCTATTGACAATAAGTCCATTGATAATAATAATTCTGATAATAAATCATCCCAAGTCAACTCAACATCGAGTCAAACAATGAATACAACAACAACGACAACAAAAAGCAAGCTGAATCGATCAAAATTTTTCCGGCGTAAATCAACAATCACTTGTGAATTGTTATATCCTGAAGATTTTTTAAAGCTGGATACAGTTAAGGTGTCATTCAACTCTGTATGGATTATATGGTCAGGATGTTGTATGTCAAGTGAGACAGCAGCATTAATCTTGTTAAGAAATCTATCACAGGTAACTTTAATTAATTCACTTTAACTTCTCGAGTATTTATCTTTGATCTCTTGTCAATTAGTGATGTCATCATGGAATGATTTTCCTTTGATGAAATGTTTTTGAGCAATGTTTTGAGCACAATTTACTGCTCATTATCATATCAGGGCATTCGCTTTGTCACACATTAAGTCATCTCATCCGTTTATCTGTAAAGGCAGGCTGAGTTAGGTATCTAACAATCCGAGCAGAAACTCCAAGTAGCCAATCAGGAAATGTGAATAATCAAATGAAATGGAGAGAAGAATTGATGCTCGAAATAACTAAACTAGAGTTCTACCACTATAAGGAGGGGACATCTGAAACCCTGCGGAGAATTTTTAAAATATCAAGAATTAGGGTAGAATTTAAACCTTACAATCTCATTTATGGACAAGCTCTGTATGCTGAGAGACCTTATCAGCTCAGGTAGGTAAAAGAATATGATCTACAAAATAATGCGTAGACTAAGCGGTGCTTGAGAGGAACAAACACCGAGAACCAGACAGGCTTTAGACGAGGAAGAGAGTGTATTGATCATTACTTCACTCTTCGACAGATTCTAGAACAAAGGCATACTTACCAACGTCCAACAATCGTTATACTTCTTGACCTAAAGGCGGCATTCGATTCCGTTGATCGAGAGGTACTCTGGCGATATTTGTCTGTAAAAGAAATGCCGAGGAAATATATTGCATTAATGAAGGCACTCAGTCTGCTCGAACTCATGCAGCCCGTTGAGAGATTATGGCGAGTTGTCATCTGAAGTGGTGACAACTAATGGTGTCTGTGAAGGATGCCAACTATCCCTATTTCTATTCATTTTCATCATAGATGTACTAATGGAATTAAACCTAACTGCTTACTTCAGAGACTTTGGGATTGACTTATCACCACCAAGGAATAATCTCGTTGACTTAGAATATGCAGATAATATAGTCCTTCCAGCTAGGTGAAGACATTGACCGACAAAATGCAGATTCTTCTGAAAGCCTTGAGCTGTAATCTGTGTATGTTTGGCATGTGATTCGCTCCCGTCAAATGTAAGATGATGCTACAGAACTGAACTGCATCGACTCTTAGCTTAGAAATAAGGATTAAAGTGGTACAGCGAGTTGACCGCTTCACTTATTTGGGAAGTTGCATCAGCCAGGGCCAGCGGGTTGACCGCTGACAAAATCTCAACACGGATAGAGAAGGATCGGTTCGCATATGCTAGTTTACGCCATCTTTGGCGTAGACGTGATATCCGACCGGTTGTCAACTGAAGGGCGTGTGTAGTGCTCGCCGGTCCTTTCCGTCCTCCTTTATGGCTGAGACCTGGCCATTGGGAGTGGAGGACATGAAAAGACTAGCTGTCTTTGATCATAGGTGCCTGCGTTCTATCTCCCATGTGAAGTGGTATAGTAGAGTGAGCAATATTGAGGTTAGGCTTCGGTCGAGTGCTAGGTAGGTTGGAGAGGAAATCAATCGACGAGGCGGTGAAGTTACATCGACTGCGATGATTCAGACAAGTGTTACATATGCCTATCCGTCGCCTTCCTCGATGAGCAATGTTATCTGGTTGGAAAAGAGCCAGCAGTGGTCAAACCAAAACATGGCTTCATCAATCAATCAAATCCATAACAGTTAGTATAAGCCAGTAACGTAAGAAAACGATTTCCTGACTGATTGGGGTCTTCGGGATGGTAAGAACTAATGGTGGCTTCAGAAAATTGGTTATAATATGGCTAAAAGTTGTTCTCAGTGATGTCTCAGATGCATACACACCTTGTGACTTATTATACCCAATGAAACTCTATTGTTCTTCGTTATTACTACTCTTTTTGATTCATATCTCTGTTTTGCACTTCTTTTTACTTTCTACTCTTGCTTTGTGTGCTACATGGAGGGAGTGTGGCGACTCGAACTGCTGTACATCGGTGTAATGTCCAATGTTTAAACTAGTCAGTCAGTCAATTCGGTTGGTGGTAATCAGTAGTGGATTCAATGATAGACACTTCGTCCTGTTTGAGATGAGTCACATTTGGATGTACCTGCATTCTCCATTGCATGAGTGATGGTGTTCCCGCTGAAGCTCGAACCAAGTACCCATCATTTCTAACTGTAAAGCATTAACCACGGTGTGTACTGAGTCCGAACCTCAGTGGAAACAATATCAGTTACTGGGGATTGCAGGTACATCTCGGTGACGAGCCCTATTTAGGACAAAGTGTGCCTTCTAGATTCCATTGCTAGTCACTATCCAGCAAATTACAGCATGACGTCCTTAAATCGCATTATTTTAAAGGAAAATTCCAACCTATTGCTTTTTGTATTCCTCATAAACTCTAGATGCATCTGAGACTAAAACAGGTGCTCAGTCTACTCTTGGAAATTTTGATGATTCTCGAATTGATATCAGTTCATCACAAAATCCACCTAGAATCCATCGAAGTTCCCAGAAATCTAAAATCTGAATGTGTCCTTTCATTTCTTGCATTCAGAGTAGAATGTACAGCCTCAAGCTCAGAAGTTGTTGATTTCAACGAGATGTAGTTAAAAGCCTCACTAAGTGTAATCTTCCGTATTAATTTATGGCTTAAATCATACTGTCAGCTACAACTCTGGTGCCTCCTCATTTTCGGATGGATGTTTTTCCTTTCACTAAAGATTTCAGTGGGGAGACACAATACAATGAATTTGTGCGTCGGTGGCACATTGGTTAGGACGCTCGCCAACCATGGTCTGGGGTTCGATCTCCGGCCGACGCACACCTGATATCAATGGTTGGCCAGCTAAATTTGGGCTATCAATATCACATCCTGAAAATTCCTTACTTGTACCAAAAATACAGTGTGGAATCAAGCTATAATAAAAATTTAAGAAAGAAATAAAATAAACTAACTAGTCAAGGTTTACAGAGAAAACTTAAATTAATATGCCTGTAATTAAAGAATATTTTTAATTCTAGATGAAATATATTTGAGCGACAATGTCACAACATAAATAAATGTGTGAATGTTGTATGTGTGTGATTGCAATATATGAGCTTATGTGACATTGGGTAGTCTTTTTTCACCTCCCTCTCTCTGTCTCTCAACATATCCTAGCTATTATGACTGACGGTAATTGCCATTATTTCAAATATTCGTGATTAGTGCTTAACACGCGAATTGTTGATCTATCTAACTATAGATTGACTATGTGAATTATTACGGATAAGAATAGGAAGTAGATGAATGTCAGTAGAGTATTTTATATGTGTCAACTGGTCAGTAAATGCGTCAAAACACAGAGATGGATCTATGAGCTATATTAAACCAAAATATCAATGAAAAATTAATGTCTTGTTATAAGAGCAGTTTTATTTTTTCCACTTTTTTGAGTTTCAAATAGAATATAAGGCTTCAAGCTTAAAGTTTCGCTGGCTCTGATGTTCTACGGGTTGTGATTGCTAACCTCACACACAGTCTTCACTGGGCTTACTATCGAATTGGCGAAGTTTGGCAGTATGTTGGCTGGAGGTTAAGCCGGAACCACCTGACTGGCTGGTAAGCATTCGGTCTGCGGACCGCCACCGCTAGTCGTTGCGTAACCTCGCTGACCGGGTTAGAACCAATTTTTCCAACGTCGCATGTTTTCCAACATGTAGGGTGGGAGTAGCATTGGAATTTGTTTAGTTTATTTATGTTTGTCAGCTATTTAAGGCATTCAGTATCTGTATGTCCTTCTGTTCTAATGATTGATTGATTGATTGATACGAGTGATTGCGTACCAGTTACACCAACCATTGGTGCTTTGATAGCCAGCCATGCTGAAGTGAGCCAATCAGCAGATTACCGTTTTGTTCATTTGGGTGTCTTTTTTGACAAGCTTTAAAATACGATGGAGGATAAAAGGTTGACTAATCAATGCTTATTATTCCATTATTCCACGTCATTTCTTGCATAGGCCTAAGTCGTCCTCTTTTGGTTGTCTCCTTCACTTATCTAGCCAGGAAGCGTCATTTCAACTACAGGCAGTGGGAACAGACGAAGATATCAAAGCCAGTCAGAATTGGAAAGGCAAGATACGCCTTCATCAACCTGAAACCAGTTTGAAATTCTTCCGCACTCAGCCAGCATAAGGAACAAGATTCGCATTTTTAACACCAATGTGAAGTTGGTTCAGAAACTTGAACTGCGTGTGACGAAAAGGATTTCCAACAAGTTGCAGATTTTCATCAACAGTTGCCTACGATCCATACTGAAGATTAAATGGTCAGAAAGAATTTCTAACAAAAAACTCTTGGAACAAATGAAACAAGAACCCATCGCTCAACAAATATGTAGGAGAAAATGGAGATGGATCGGCCATATGCCACTGAGAAGGCCGTAAAATGACATCGCGCGCCTGGCAATACCTCGAGTGGAATCCAAATGGGAGGCAGACGAGTGGGTCGTCGGTGCGAAGGTGACATGGAGGAGAGCGTATAAAGAAGAGATGAGAGAGTTTGGGCAATCGTGGACCCAGCTGAAGAGGATGGCAGAAAATAGAAGTGGAGATGTGTTGTTGAAGCCAGCACTATGTTCCACTCGGAACGCAAGGGAATAATAATATAGTATGATGTAAACAATGGAGACTTCATGATGTGTTCAAATCATGTGATTTGACATCGATATATGCTTAACCGTTTTGATTGATTCCGCTTAGTATGAAAAGTTATTTCCTCGAACAAGTCCTTTCAAAGTTGCTTTTACAAAAGCAACAGGAAACCCAGTAATGTGTACCTGTAGACACCTCAGATTTTATAGAATATTTCTCAGCCGACAGTATCGGTAGTACGAATGTCTTTCTTTGGATCAGCTTTGTCACCTTGAGAATAAACATTCGACTAGCTGTATTACTGCAGAGTATTTTTATTTTTTAACACTGTACGTTATCATATTTCATTATTTAGACATAAAATTAACCTATCTAGTCTACGTATAGAACATTTTACGTGTATGTCAGTCCAATGATTCAAGCGTGGAAGCTCAGTAGGCTTGCCTCTTAATCATCCTGTCCGTTAAAACTTAATTCTGCAGAAACTGCATTTATAACTACTAACACAACGGATACCTACCTTCGTTTAACCCTACATTTTTTTTCCTTCACGTTCCCCAGTGGAACATAGGGCTCCAAGCTGGTGGCTTGAAGTTTCTGTAGCAGTGTTTATTTTACAGGATGGGGTTGCTAGCCTCATGCCCAGCCTTTCCTCTTCTGGTTTAGCGAGGTAAAGGAGTGCGCCGGCCGGGGATCGAACCTCGGACTATATGCATGGTCGGCGTGTGTACTGCTCAACAGTCCGCTCCGTCCTCCTTTATGGCTGTGAGACCTGGCCATTGAGAGCAGAAGACATGAAAAGATTAGCTGTCTTCGATCATAGGTGTGTGCGTTCTATCTCCCACGTGAAGTGGTATAATAAGGTGAGCAATATTCGGGTTAGGCGTCGAGTGCTAGGTAAGGCGGGGAAATCAGTCGACGAGACTGTGAAATTACATCGACTGAGATGGTTACGACATATGTTACACACGTATGCCTAGTCATCGCCTTCCTCGACAATGTACAATGTTAGCTGATATACGGTCAGGTTGGAAAAGAGCTATTGGCGGTCAAACCGAGACATGCAACCAATCAATGAAATCTACAACAGTTAGTCTAAGCCACATAGGAAGGTGTAGACTTCCTGGTTGGGGTCCTCGGGACGGTAAAAACCAATGGTTGGCAACAGTTGGTGACATGGCTCAAAATCGTTCTCAATGACTGGCGCAGATGCATCCACTCCTTGTGACATGATTTCCAGTGGAACTGTTTTGTTCTTCGTTATTACTATTCCTTTGTCTCACACCTCTGTTTACTGTCTATATTATGCATTTCTTCTACTTCTCTTGCTTTTTGTGCTTCATGGAGTGTGGCGACTTGAACTGCCGCAGATATGTGCAAATTTCTATGTCGAAAACAGACAGACAGGCATGGTCGGCGAGCGTCCTAACCGCTGTGCCACCGACGCTTCATTAAAAATCGAAACGACGTTTAGATTTCATAAAGGGCTAACTGAAATAAACTTGGTAACTGCTTAGACATACAGAAGAAATTTCTACTGTTCAAAATCAAATGCATAGTCATTTCTTGTTTCGCCAATAAGTTATTAGACAGTTGGATGCAGTTGTCAGGAAGCCTTTAACCTAGGCTTCTTGCTTGTTGTTAGCCCTTTTCAGCAAGGTGATTCTGCAGTCTTCAAAGAAATCATGTTCCTTCTGAGAAGTGAACCCGTTTCACCCGGCGCTACAGTCAGAGACGTCACCACTGACCGATCTCCCGTAGGACTGTACTCAATACTTTGATTGGACACTGAGTAGTAACTAGTGTAATGTGTCTGGTCCTTTGGTTTAGTGCAGACTGAGTTTGATTAGTCAAGTCTGCAATGTGGCCACCATGATAGTTGGATCACCATTATGGTGAACAATCAATTGTTGTTATTATATCATACAGTCTCGATAAATTCAACATTATTATTGACTGTTTAACTCCATTTTTAATTTTGTTTTCTGTTAGCTTTAACACTTTCCATTAGAAGTTAATAAAAAGACAATTGCAGCGAAGAAAATTTTCTTTTCGACGAAGTCATCATCTGGGGTGTACATTCGTGTATTTATATCAAATGGATAGGAAAGTTCCAGAATAATTTCTGGTTAGGGGTCAAATTAATAAAAAAATTACAATTAGGAATTAAAATGACATAATTCCTAATTGTAATTTTTTATTAATTTGACCCCTAACCAGAAATTATTCTGGAACTTTCCTATCCATTTGATATAAATACACGAATGTACACCCTAGATGATGACTTCGTCGAAAAGAAAATTTTCTTCGCTGCAATTGTCTTTTTATTAACTTTCCATTAGAACTTAAAGAAATTCATTTAGGAAAAAAAATTGAGCAAAGAACATCCTTTTCGATAATTTCCTCTTCTGGCACTACAATTATATATATATACATATATATATATATATATATATATATATAATATTTTGATTGGACACTAGTAACTAGTGTGACGCGTCTAGTCCTTTCTTTAGTTCAGAGTGCATTCTATCAGTAAGGTTTGCAATGCGACAACCATTTTAGGTAGCTTGCCATCACGGTGCACATTGATTTGATGATATTAGATGGTTGGAGGGAATCGGCAGGAAGCTTTGAACCTAGGTTTCGTGCTAGTTGTCACTCACCATTCAGTAAGGCGTACCAGTAGCCTTGAAGGGACTCATGTCCCTTCTGAGATTCGAACCCGCGTCACCCAGTGCTGCCTGCAGTCAGAAACGTTACCACTGAGCTCTTTGGGCTCATTCGTGATTGACCTCCTGTAGGACTGTAGTGGATACTTTGTTTGGACACTAGTAACTAGTGTGATGTGTCTAGTCCTCTCTTTGGTGCAAGCTAGCACGAAACCTAGGTCTAAGGCTTCCTGCCAATTGCCCCCAACTACCTAATATTATACACAGAATATTCTAGAATGGTAGGCAATAACAATATTGGTGCTTTTTTTTAAATAATATCGATTTGTTAAGTAAGGTCACGATGGAATTATAGTTCATTTAAGATGCTTAAATTATAATAATAATAATAATATAATACCAAATAGAAAATCAACTAAAATTAAGGTAATTTCTACAAAAATTGAGTATCATTTGAACATGTTTCCTGTGTCTGAACCAGCTTCCTTTGGATGCATAAGTTAGACTTCTTAATGTGGATCCTAACAGCCTGAGCAATATTTAGTACACGAACTGTGAAGACGAAGTTAAAATTTGTTGCTATGAGGTAAATGACTTTGAAAGCCTTGCTAACATCACTCTTGTGTTCTATATCAACAAGATGAGATAGAATAGCGCAACGAATAGATTTTGTTTGTCCTTATCGTATGGCCTATGTAACTGACTCCACAGAAGCAGTTCAATTGGTAGATACACAAGGAAGAGTCGAAATTAGACAGTTTATCTTTTACTCCCGAACACAAAATAGGGTTGGGTGGTTTCGAAGACACAGCGTAATTCGACAGCAGCAGGGAATGGTCTTCGTTTTGTCGCATTTCTAAGGCGTCGTGTTAACATCTGGCTGGTATTGTCCCCCAGGGACTGAATTTGTATGAATAAGAATTCATTTAGATAGTTACTCATCAATGAGAAGTGGATCCTTATTATTTTTTTTCGTCTGAGATTTGCATTCTCACGGTTGACTAATACACTATCATCTTATATTAACTGTTATCATACAGGTTGAAAGAAAGGTCCTCATAGAAAGAGATACTCTACGAGCTGAATATAATCTTGTCCTTCAACAACATAAACTTGATCGTCGTTCTGAATCCCCATTAAATTCATCTATTAATGAGTTAGTTCAAACCTTTGGTGAACCGGAGAGTCAAACCAATCAACCATCTAATACTAGTAATAATAATAATAATAAAGATAAAAGTTCTTGGTTATGGTGGAGAAGTCGTAAAACAACAACAACAACAATAGCAACAGCAACAACAACAAGTGTATCTGATGCTATCTCAGATTTAGATTCACAAGATTTAACCTACCAAGAACCGACAACAACAACAGCATCACCACATCGAGAAGCTGTACAGTCAATTCTTGCTCCTATTGATCTACGTGTATCTAGTCCAGTTTTCATTCAAGAGGAATTTGATCAAGAAAACTATGAACGGTAAGCGATGATGACATTATTCAGGACGAAAATGTTTAGAGTGGACAGTTATGGTTTCACGAGTTGATCATGGATTGATATCAGTTAGAGAGACATCCTAGTTTGGGAATCATTGACAGTACACAGTGAAGATAGATGTCCCACCAATGACATTGGTTGGTGCCAGTCGCGCTAAATCACAAATTGGTAGAAGTTAGAATTCATGGGCTGGCCAATGAATCGTGTCCCACTGGCTGAATGGTCTGTGAGCTTGTCTTGTAACCGGAAGGTCCTCAATTCGAACCAAACTAGGATGAAACAGCTGTCCAGGACTCCTCTCTAGGGGTTTTCAATGGTTCTCTAACTGTTATCAATCCGTGGTCAAACTCGTAAAAATATATTTAGTACTTACAAACCAACTATTGAAAATTATGGTTTCAATAAACTTTTCAGGCTCTACTGTTATAAATACATTAATTTAATCATAAAATAGCCAGTAACGAAAGTTTAGTGCTGTTGGAAAACTGTATTATGGAACAAGTATAAGATGGAATAGACTTTCTCTTGTGGCGCAAGGAGATTCATCGTGCTGAAGTTTCTGTAGCAGCTTTGTTTACAGGGTGAGGTTGCTACAGAGAAATAAACCAACAAATGGGATAGAATAGACGTAAGTTCAAGGGTGACAAGTAATAATAATAATGATGAAATAATAATATATGGGGTTTACAAAACCTCAGAAATTTAAGGCATAATAATCCAACAATTCTGATTGGCCAAGGATAGATCAAAGATCACCTGATCCACAAAAAGGAATTCTGCAACTACCAGCTAAAGATATCGATTAATATTTTCAGCTGCTTCCTATGACACTGTGACTGTGTATACTATCTGAGTACGTTCATTACATGAAGAAAAACCTGTGGATTGGTTTATCTTCACTAATTACTAGCCGTAATGAGGTGAAGATATGGAATGAAGGGTATTCATAAATGACAAACGCTATTTTTATTGCTTTGAGATTCCTTTGGTGTCAGGTTCAACAGACTATTTGATACACTAGCTGAAGATGTTACTTTCTTTGAGGTAGTTGTGTTCTCTGAGCTTGTTGGTTTACTTTCGTAGCTTTCATTGAGCTGACGATGTCGCCTAGTAAGACATCCATCTGAGCTACAAATCTTCTCCATTATAGGGAATAAAAAGACAATGTAGCGAAGAAAATTTTATTTTCGACGAAATCATCAACTAGCCTGTACATTCCTGTATTCATAATAAATAGGTAGGAAAGTTCCAGAATAATATCTGGTCAAGGGTCAGATTAATAAAGTTACAATTAGGAATTAAAATGCCATAATAAACATGGGGGAGTGACGGATAAAACTCAGACAAAGTAGCATCATAATTACTGAGATGATCGACATATTGTGCAATTGGAGGTTAGAAATGTAAAAATAAAAAAATAGACAAGATGTTTGGATAAAAAAATGTAGTGGGATCATAACCAATGTGATGAATAATTGTTTATGCAATCAGGGTTTAAATATGTAGAAATAATAACATGACTAATTAGACAGGAAGTTCGGATATGAAAATATGGTAGTGTAAATAGGGATTAAGAAAAACTTAAAAATAACATGAATAAACAGGAAGTTTGGATAAGAAAGGTAATGAAATACTCACTGTTAGAAGAATTACCTGTTTATGATGGCCATGACAGCGAAAGGGTTGGATATATTTCTTTTGGATACATAGAGTGGGTTTGAGCTTTTGGATAGCTAGTGCCTTGGCTATGCCCAGATGTCTTAATTTCACTCCCTTTGATAGGTTTGATCGAATCTTGTATATTATTTTGAAGGATTTTTCGAACGGTGCTGAATGTCTTGAATTGACCAGATGTTCTGTCACTGAACTATATACACGTTTTCGATCTCCTTTTACTAGCCAGACTGGACAGTGTTCACGAGCGCGTATTTCAGGTTGGCGCATGGTACAGCCGATGTACTCAGCTCCGCAAGAGCAAGTTAACTGGTATATGCAAGTTGAAGTAGCCCAATGCGACAGCGTATCTTTCGCGTTCTAGCTGAACAGTTTCTTGCAGGAAAACGTTAGTCGTAGGCTTGCGGCGAAGTTTGTCTTCCTCAGAGATTTGCAGAGGTGTTTACGAAGGATTTCTGCTTCAGTGTCACCTTTGGATTCTAAACTGAGCAGAAGTATCTTCTTCGGGACGGATTGAACTTGTTCGGAAGTTTTCTTTGATTTGAGATTCTTGTCTATGAACCTAGGCGGAAAACCGTTCCCCATTATATCTGATGTTACTATTCAGAATAAGGAATTTGTATACATGAGCCTATATTTTTCTGGTGTCGATAGTAAGATGAGTGTATGTTGGGCAGTTGAAGGCAGTCAGTCGGTAGGAACCCCTGGACTTAGGTTTAATGCTTGTTGATAGTTTTCAGAAAGGTTTATCTGTGACCATGAAGAAACTCATGTTCCCTCTGGGATTCTAACTTGCAATCAGACTCACAGTTGAACTCCAATAGAAGTGTAGTGTGGAGACATTCATTAGTCACCAGGAATTGACCAGTGTGGTCCGTCTAGTACTTGTTTTTCATGCAGACTGAATTCTATCAGCCAGTGACCAGTCATGACATCCTTTGGATATGTTTAATGAGAAATACCTTCTTGACATTCAATTACTATTTAACTATTTCACTCCTTTTCTGTCTTCCCTTGGTGCTAAATTATCCTGTGGGATTCATTTCGCCGTGTCTACATATCACATTTGTCTACATCAGGGAAAACTATCCGATTAGTCCTCCAGCATTGTCTAAAAATGAGCTATTAAATATACCAGGCAATACAATCCCACTGTATTCATCAACAATTGATGTAAGATATCGTAGTAAAACACCAGATCCACCACAATCTGCCTGTTCACCTGATGAAGCTGGTTACTTTTCCGATGAAGGTGAACATAATAGTGTATTTCAAAATAGAAGTGAAAATATTGAACGTGGAATCTCTGATCATCAGAAAAATCATCTCACCTCTGAACAACTTGTAAGTATGTTTTGTTTTGTTGTTTTTTTTCTTGATTTTTCATTATTAAGGAATTTTTGAACTTGGGACATTTTTTTACTACTCAAAATTTGTCATCTTTGAAGGAAGATCTTGACTTCTTTGTAGGTCATAAGTAAAAGGCACAAACAGCGAAGAAAATTTTCTTTTCGACGATTCATTTTCATGAGCTCTACAATCGTAATTATGATTATTCGAGTGTTGGTTTGTAGGAATTTGATTCGTTACAGGGTTTTAATCATGAGCTGACATTAGTTAGAGAACCATTGGAAAACCTGGGAGTACTGGACAGCTGCTTCGTCCTGGTTTGGAACTCTTCAGCAGTACGCACCCGCCGGGATTCGAACCTAGGACTTTCTGGTGGGTGCGTACTGCTGAATAGTCCCGAACTAGGACGAAGCAGCTGTCCAGTACTCCCAGGTTTTCCATTAGTTCTCTAACTAATGTCAGCTCATGATGAAAATCCTGTAACGTAATTATGATTAACAAAGAAATATTTAGACCAATCAGATACTGGTAAATTTTGTCCTTGGAAAGTTGTATTACGTAATGTAAGGTGTAAGAAGGGATGACTAATTGTAAGTTAGAAAGGAGGCAGAAGTTGGCATGACGTATTAAGTGTGAGATAATGAATAATCGCGTCGGTGGCACAGCGGTTAGGACACTCACCGACCATGCACATGGTCTGGGGTTCGATCCCCGTCCGACGCACTCCATTACCTCGCTAAGCCAGAACTAAAAAACAGCTGGTGAAGTGGAAAGGTTGGGCATGAGGCTGGCAACCCCATCGTGTAAAATAAACACTGCTACAGAAACTTCAAGCCTCTAGCTTGAAGCCCTATGTTCCACTGGGTACGTGAAGGAATTTTTAAAAAATGAATAATCAATAAGCTCGTGTAAAATTGACAGGAACTAGTGAAAAGGCTATAAAGTGTTTTGTATAAAATATGTATGAAAAGCAATTTTATTAATAAAATAAAATACTAATAATAGTGAACTTACATAATAAAGGAAAGAAGCAAAATTGTTGTAAGAAATTTACTCTGGCCATGGTAGGGCAAGAGAATGTATGTATCGCTTTTGGATGCAGAGGTTCGGTTTCAGATCTCGAATAGCTAATGCTTCAGCTATGTACAGATGGCGAATCCGAAGTCCCTTTGTACGATATTGAGGTACTCTGTGTAACACTGTGAAGCATTCATGTGGGGGTGCTGGATGTCCAGAGATGACAAGGTGTTCGAGGATCGAGCTGTTGCTATTCTTCTTTTCTCCTCTGGATAACCAAGCTGGGAAGTGTTTTAGAATACGTTTGCGGACTTGACGTTGCGTTTGTAGGCATTTAAATGTTCTGCGGTGTTGCTTACTTCCTAGGAAACCAGTTAGTTGGGTTGCTTGAGCGACTTTGAAGTCGCTTCCAGCTGGTTTCGACTGCATATGACGCTCACGATTGATGTGTTGCTATCAGTCCTGCTAGGTCTAAGCTCGAGCCACATTATCTACCTGGTCAACATAACCTGGTGGTCAGGCTGCTCTTAACACCTCTCCAACGGCTGCCGAAAGATGTATTTATTGAGGATGATTTCAAGAAAGTTTACCAGTATGTGATCATACCACAACGAAAATGACGAGCTCTTATCCCTTGGAAATCATATTTTCCACCGTGTGTTTTTCTCTTAACAGATCAACAAATTGATGGTTGACCGTAAAACGGTTGAGGAATTTCTTTGATCCCTTACAAATTATTGTCATTGTAAGCCTAGACAATTCTTCAGGTTTCTAAAGTTTAACCCTTGGCAATTTTCCGTTTTTGGATAAGTGAATATACTTTGATTGGACACTAGTAATTAGTGCGACGTATCTAGTCCTTTCTTTGGTGCAGACTAAATTCTATCAGTCAGGTTTTCAAAGTGGCCACAATTCTAGGTAGCTCGCCATCACGGTGCATATTGATTTGATGATATTAGATGGTTGAAAGCAATCGGCAGGAAGCCTAATCAGACCTAAGTATCGTGCTAGTTGGCACTCACCAATCACCAGAGCGTATCTGCAGCCCTAAAGGAATTCATATCTCTTCTGAGACTCGAACCAGTGTCATCCAGTGCTGCAGTCAGAGACGTTACCACTGAGCTATTCAGGCTCGCGACTGACCTCCTGTATGACTGTACTGAATTCGCTGCAAAATTAATCCAATCAAGTCACTATGTAGCTGCACAGGTTCATGAGATTTAGCAAGGTCTTCAAAATAGACGAAATGGATTAAAGGAGAGAGCTCAGAACCGACGTCATCATCTTGAAGATTCCCACCGTTATCAAATGTTTGATAGAAATGTAGATGAAATGCAGTCATGCATATCAGAAAAACTTAAAAATGAACTTGATGAAAGTTACAAAGACTACACGAATTTGCAAACAACGGTGCAGGAGCATCAGAATTTCGAGGCAGAAATACAAGCCAATCAATACCGCGTTGAAGATATTAAAAAGACAGGTCAGGATTTGTTAAATGCGAACCATTAAAACTCACCAGAAATAAAAGTAAAGATTGAACAATTGGACAAAACTTGGTCTCATCTCGTAAATGCCATGGGAAATAAGAAGAGGAATTTAGATCAAGCAAGTAGGCAACAACAGTTTGTTCACAACGTAGATGATGCTGAGTTATGGTTGAGTGATGTTGAAGCTCAGATAGCCTCGGAGGATGTTGGTCGTGGTCTTAACGGTGTGATGAACGTACAAAAGCGACACAACTTGCTAGAATCTGATTTAGCTGCCCATCGTGAACGCACTGATGCATTAAAACTCCAGGCTGACACATTTGCTGCAGAAGGTCATTTCGACGCTCCTATTATTCAAGAAAAACAACGATAGTTAGCCCAACGTTACCATGATCTGCAAGGCTCTCTAAGTCAACGTCTTGAGAAGTTAAGAGATGCGGGAAAAAGAGTAGCTAGTTGGTTCATTAGAATTTGGTCGGGATGAAGATTCCACGGAAGCGCTCCTAAAGAAAAATAATGCCTTGCTTGCAGACATTGAAGCCTACGGTTCCACTATTCAGGCTAGTGTCCAATAAAAATAACCACTACAGTCCTACAGGAGGTCAGTCGCGAGTGAGCCCAAATAGCTCAGTGGTAACGTCTCTAACTGCAGGTGGCACTGGGTGACGCGGGTTCGAATCTCAGAAGGGACATGAGTCCCTTCAAGGTTGTTGGTACACCTTACTGAATGGTAAGTGACAACTAGCACGAAACCTAGGTTCAAAGCTTCCTGCCGATTCCCTCCAACTATCGAATATCATCAAGTGAATATACTATTATCATACTATTATTCCCTTGGGTTCCGAGTGGAAAATAGAGCTTCAACAACACATCTCCTATAATTCTGTTCTCTGTAGTCTTCTTTTTATGACTGCACGGTTTGTCCAAAACTTTTCATTCTCTCCGCACAAGATCTCCTCCATGTTAACTTCGAACTAACTAATTCACAACTGGTAGCCTCCCATTCTCATTCCACTCGTCAGTCTTTGACTGAAATTCAGGGCATGCAACTACGCCTGTTTGAAGCTCAGTAACTGAAGATAGTGTGTCCGTTGAAACTCGAAGCTGATAATCATTGTTTTAAAAGTTAAGTATATATTCACTAAGCTACTGAGCCATGAGAAGCATCACTTATGTAGTCCGTTTTAATTATTTCTCTACTGAAACTCGTGATATACTGTTTAACTTCCAACTATAGTGAAGTGACATATCGGAATGCCTGCCTCAAGTAGAAGGAAATGTGCGTCTTGAATGCCACTACTAGCTACTGCCCATCAAATAACGTGGAAGTCAAGTTAAAGGCGTTTTTGAAATCTCCTCACTCGAAGCCTTATTATTATCTATTATTTTATTCCTTTACGTTACTAGTGGAACATAGTGCTCCAAGCTAGAACTCTGAAGTTTCGGTAGCAATGGTATTTATTTTGACGAGGTGGAGTTGCTAACAACATGCTTAATCTCCCCCCTTTACTGGTCTTATTACCAGCTTAGCGAGGTTAGGTAATGCGCTGGCTGCGGCTTGAACCCCGAACCACATGAGGCGTGGTTGGCGAGCATTCTATCACCAAGTCACCGGCGCACTAGGAGCCTATGTAGTACTATTTCAATTCAGTAAACAGAAAAAAGGTGAATTTAACAGGTTTCCATAAATGTTTTCTTTTTTAAAAATTCAGTGGATGTTCTAGCTTAAGGGGTAGCCGGCGATATTATGATGAACGCCCGTTGGACAGATGAACATTCTCAGCTATTTTCATATGTAGGGATTTGATTGGCCTAAAGTTTGATTGAGAATTGACAGCAGTTAAGAAACCACTGAAAACTAAGTAATACTGGACAGTTTTTTCATCCTAGTTTGGGGAACTTTAGCAGAATGCACCCATGACCCGACCGGGAGTCAAAACTGAGACTTTCAGATTACAAGGTGAGCTCGTCAACCATTCAATTGGTGGGACACAATCCAATCAATTCGCTACTTTAGTTTCATTTGAATGTCTTTGGTTCGACACCCTCTGGGGTCATGCGTGCATACTCTCTAACTGGAAGCGAACACCTGCCCAATACCTTCAGGTTATTGGTGTTTCTCTTACTTAAGTCAATCCGTGATCAAACTTGAAAACATCATTATTCCAAAAATATATCTTTCTGCTGACGAAAACTAGAACGACATCAGGTGTCGACGGTTATTCAGTCTTCCTTAAACCTGGAATTTCGACTTAGTGATGCTTCATTTAAACAGGAAATTTCCATATTGAGTCGTGAATTGGCAGAAGTTACAATTCAAGGACCATTGAATTGGGTCCCAGTGGCTCAATGGTCTCCTACTTTCTTCTCTTGCTTTGTATGCTACATGTAGTATGGCGACTTGAACTGCCATACATATGTGCAAAGTTCTATGTCGAAAACAGACAGACGAGCTCGCCTTGTAACCAGAATGTCCTGGGTTCGAATCCCGATGGGTGTGTATTGCTGAAGAGTCCAAAACTAGGACGAAACAGCTGTCCAGTACTCCCAGGTTTTCCAGTGGTTCTCTAACTGATGTCAGCTCATGATGAAATCTTCCATGCAATCATTAAAAAGTCACAACAGATTAGAAAATCTTCTTTTTCCACGAATCACTTTCAAAACCTCTTGTACAATCGTATTTAATGGATAAAACCAATCAAAGTTATAGTTCATTGTATGCTAGAAATTCGTCTCCATCAAGTTAGAAACAGTTTAAAGCAGAATGCACAAGCGGGAATTACAAAACCGGAAGTCGGTATTACGTAATAGGCGTTAAAAAATAAAACTTCAGTTTGAATGGAGAAAATGGACAATATCTGTTATGCCTCCTCATATGATGAATACCATTTTCTAGAACGTAATTACCCCAACAGATTTAATTGGTTTTATGAATATCTCTGTTGAGCAGAGATACGATTGTACAATAGATTTTAGAAATGATTTGTCAAAAAATGAACTTTTTCCTATCAATGTTACGTCTTCATTTTGTGACGCAACATTTAATTGAGTTTCAATTGTTAATATTTGCCTATGATAGTTGTGGCAGCTTTTTTGGCATATATATATATATACATATATATATATATTGCGTAGACATTTAGAAGGCAGAATGATTCAGCGAAGAAATATTCACTTTTCAATTAGATCCTCGTCTCTGGCTCTACTCTAATATACACGTATAGCATTTTTAATACAATACACAACAATTTACCAATCAAGGGGCAATGTGCGTCGGTGGCACAGCGGTTAGGATGCTCGTCGACCATGCACATGGTCTGGGGTTCCGTCCCCTGCCGACGCACACCTGATATAAGTGGTGGGCGTGCTAAATTTGGGCTACCGATATCATATGATGAAAATTCCATACTTGTACCAAAATACTGTGTGGAATCAAGCTATAATAAAATATTAAAAAAATGGTTGTTAAAAATAATTAGTCAGTATCAGCCTGTCAGATGGTGGGTGACAATTAACAAAGAAGATTCATACAATCAATTAAAGGGTAGAAATGGTTACAAAAGTTGGATTGCATAATACATAATTTTGGGAAAATTAGTAACTACGCAATAGGTGAGTGTTCAATTTGATTGCGTAATAGGTATCTAAAGAAAAATAAAATATGTCATGAATTGGCAGAAGTTAGAATTCATGGGTCATTGGTCTACGGGCTTGCCTTGCAACCAGAAGGCCCTGGGTTCGAAACCCGGTGGATGCGCATTGATAAAGATTCTCAAACTAGTGGGATGAAAGAGCTGTCCAGTACTCTCAGGTTTTCCAATGGTTCTCTAACTGATGTCTGCTCATGATGAAATCCTCCAACCAATCAAAAGAAATCCCTACAAAAACCAACACCTGAAAAAAGAAAATAATCTGGACAATAATAATGTTTAAAAGGCTTAGTAGGGGGCGGAGTAGTGAGGTTTTTACATTCACATAGCGATGGTCAAGGTAGGTAAAGTCGCTGTAAGAATTTCTTCTGAACCCCACAGGTTTGACTTCTCCCGGTGGATTCCTGGATTGCTGTATTACCACCAACTTTATGCCCAGTATTTACAAGGTGTGTTGAAACAGAGCTACGAATAAATCCTGTTTGTATCTTGCTTAACCATGCTGCAGGATTATGTTCAGAAGTATGATAATGAACAGGCCTAGGTGTACACCTCTTAAAGCTGGCTTCACATTTGCAGTCTAACTGGTAGACACACATAAATGGGAGGCGGACAAAATTATGTAGTTTGTTCTTATTTTTTGAACGTAAAATAGGGGATGTTAGTGATGAGACAAAATACCTGTGCTGCAGTGAAATCTCTTTTAACTGCATTCTTCAAGCGATGTGTTACTGCTTCGTCAATTCATTGGTAAAATGTTGTTCGTTGTATTAAAAATGTTATATATATATATATATATATATACATATATATATATATATATATTCAAGTATTGAATATTTCGAAGGGGGCATTCAGTTTGATTGGTTGAAAGACTTTAACCATGAGCTGATATCAGTTAGAGAACCATTGGAAAACCTGCAGGGACAGCTGTTTCATTCTAGTTTGAGACTCTTCATGCAGTATGCATCCACCGGGGCTCGAACCCAGGACTTTTTGGTTACAAAGCGAGCTCGTAGACCATTAATCCACTGGCATGAATGTTCAGAATTTAGAATTCATGGGCTATTGGATCGGATGCCAGTGGCCTAATGTTCTACGAGCTCCCCTTCTAACTGTAAAGTCCTGGGTTCGAACCCCAGTGGGTGCATATCGCTAAATATATGTATATATATACATATATTAGAGTAGAGCCAGAGATGTGGATCTAATTGAGAAGTAAATATTTCTAAATAAATAGTCCGCCTTATACTATCAAACGTACTTAAAAATTTGAGCTAGCCTTGTAAACTGGAAGGCCTTGGTCTCATCCTCCTGTTGAGGTCACTGGCACACATTGCTATGTCCAAGACGAGGACTGAACAGATCTCCAGTGCCCGATCGTCTTCAGTGATTCTCTAACGTATGTTGATTCGCGATAAAGTCCAGAATGAAATTAATCTAAATTCCCACAAAGCCAATAATCTATCTAAATGCAATATTTCCTTTCTGGTTAACAATTATAACAAGGTATATCTCGATTCACAGATTATCTAATATGTCCATTACTTTTGAATTAATCATCTAGTATTAATCCGTCTACTTTATCCTCTTAATCCTTAGAAAAATCTTAATTTAGTCGAAGGAGCAAATGAAGCCGTTTTTTCCGTCGTCAGTAAATATCAAGGGACTTGTCAATGTGCATGTTATATATACCTATGGAATTCATCGGATAAAATTGTCATCTCTGATATTGATGGAACAATAACTAAGTGAGTGGATAAAATCCTTTTCATTAGACAAACGTATTTAATTTTTTATAATAATAATAATTTTATATTAAATAAGTATCTTCTTAAAAATACTAAAATTCGATATAAGCATAGAACCTGGGAACTGTTATTATTATTATTCCCTTGAGTTCCGTGTGGAACATAGAGCTTCAACAACACATCTCCAATTTCTTCTTTTTTCTGTCGTCCTCTTCATCTTAGTCTGCGATTTAGCATAACCTCGCATCTTCTTCTCACCACACATTCTCCTCCATGTCACCCTAGCACTGACGACCCCCTCGTCACTTATCATTTGGACTCCACTCGAGCGATGGCATGCATTGTGCATGATGTAATTGGACGGCCTTCTCAGTGACGTACGGCCGATCCATCTCCATTATCTCTTACACATTTGTTGAGCGATCGGCTCTTGATTGGTTTTATTCACCTTCAGAGTTTTTTGTTGCTAATTGTTTCTGGCCGACTGGTCATTTGATCTTCAGTATGAAACCAGAGAAGGCAGCTGTTGATGAAGGTCTACAGCACCCTGTTGGAAAAGCTTTCCTTGACACGCATTGCAAGTTTCTGACCCGTACCGAATAAGTGACTTACTGCACATTTGTGTTGAAAATCCGAATCTTGTTCTTTTTGCTAGCTGAGTGACACCAGAAGATTTCCAACCTGATTTTAGGTTGATGAAAGCGTATCTTACCTTTCCAACTCTGACTGGTTTTGACATCTTCATCCATTTCGCCAGCTGTGATTGAAACGATTCTTACTAGATCTCCATTCTTATTCTTTCTTTCATCGAGAGAGAGAGACAGAGAAGGCACATCTTCTGGCTGACTGGCTTCCAAAAGGCTGGCTTTCACCAACCCACCACTGTGTCATTTCCCCTCTCCGATTTCAGCGAAGAATACGATTATTATTTGAATCTTTTGTAGTTTTAATATATATTTTTTTGTGCGTTGAAGTATTTCTGGCAGTTTGATAGCTTTTGCGGTATAGCGTTGCTAGCCCCACGCCCAACCCAATCCTGTTTACCCAGGCTTGGGGCTGCCTAGAAAACTAGCAAACTAGTCAACTAGGCGGGGTTACGTGGATACTATATTATTATCAATATTGTTCCCTTGGGCTCTTAGTGGAACACAGGGCTTCCACTACACGTCTCCACTTGCTTCTGTCTTCTGATGTACTTTTCACCTGCATCCATGGTAGTCCACACTGTTTCAGCTCCTGTTCACACGATCTCCTACATGTCACCCTTAGACGTCCCACTCGCCGCTTCCGTTTCGGGTTCCACTCGAGCGTTGGCCTGACGCGCGATGTCACCCAGTGGCCTCCTCAGTGAGTGTCCAATCCATCTCCACTTTCTCCTGCATATTTGTTGGGCGATTGATTCTTGTTTTGTTTGTTCCCATAGCTTCTTGTTGGTGATCCTTTCCGGCCATCTGATCTTCAGTATAGAGAGAAGACAGTTGTTGATAAAGGTCTGCAACCTGTTGAAAATATTCTTTGTGACACACTGGCCAAGTTTCTGATCCGTATAGAAGAACTGACCTGACGTTTGTATTGAAAATCCGAATTTTGTTGTTGACGCTGACGAGTGACGAAGATTTCCAGATTGGTTTCAGGTTGGTAAATGTGCTTCTCGCCTTTCCGTTTCTCGATTTGACATCCTCGTCCGTTCCTCCTGTAGTTGAGACAATGCTCCCTAGATGATAAGTGAATGAAGTAACCTCTTTCAAATGCTTCCCGTTGATGGTGATTGGCGCTGGATGTTGCTGCTGTTGTTGTTGTTGGTTATTTTCATGACCTCCGTCTTGTTTGTGTTCACCTGGAGTCCAGTCTTTGCTGCTTCTTCGACCATTTTGTCGGTTTTCGCTTTTAAGTCTTCGATTTTGTGTGGTTGAGTATAATTCCATTATTTTATCTCCAATGGAATTATAATAAATCACCTTGGAATATTTCCAAACACGTGTCATTAGAATTGTAAATTGTAATTTTTAGATAACAAATTACGCGATGCAGAAAGCGTTAATCGAGTGGAAACTAAAATAAAATAAAATTAAGTAAATTGAGTGATGAAATATATATAATTGATGTGATTGAGTATTATTCAACCAAATATTGGACTAGAGTCAAGTTAACAGCAGTAATATTAAGGGGTAGAAATTTAATAGGGAGTTGGAGAAAAAATAATAACAGTTAAGAAACAAAAACCAAAAATTATGTATTTGGTGCTAAGATAGATCAGGTGCATTGTAGATTCACAAAGAATATTTTCAACAGGTTGCAGACCTTCATCAACAACTGTCTTCGCTCTATACTGAAGATCAGATGGCCGGAAAGAATTACCAACAAGAAACTATGGGAACAATCAAAACAAGAACCAATCGCCCAACAAATATGCAGGAGAAAGTGGAGATGGACTGGACACTTGCTGAAGAGGCCGTTGAGTGACATCTCGCGTCAGGCCAACGCTCGAGTGGAACCCGAAAGCGAAGCGGCGAGTGGGACGTCCAAGAGTGACATGGAGGAGATCGTGTGAAGAGGAGTTGAATCAGTATGGACTAACATGGAAGTGAAAAGTACAGCAGAAGACAGAAACAAGTGGAGACGCGCAGTTGAAGTCCCATGTTCCACTAGGAACCCAAGGGAACAATAACAATAATGTTATTCAGAGTTGAAGATTTAATATGTGAATTGCCATTACTAATGTGGTCTGAAGAAATTCGATCAGTAGTCTTCTAGCAGGATTCCCACGTATTCTGTAGATGCCTTTGAAGTTCCTTTGTGGTTGGGTTAGCTTGGTATCCATATTCGACCACGTGTTCCAGGACAGAGCTGTGTTGAGCAGAGGAATCTTTTTTCTCCTTTATAAAACCATCAGAGTAAGTGTTTTCTGATACTTTTGAATGGAAAACTCTGGGGAGAGGCGATATATCTATTGCCACAATAGCACGTGAACTGATAGATGGACATTGATGAGGCCAACGGTGGAAGCTTATCTTTCACTATTATGTGAATTACTGGCTTCATAGAGAAGTTTAGTTGAAGTTCAGCCGTGAAGAAGACTTTGTTCAGTGTGCTGGATAGGTGGTTTCTCAATATTTCTCCACTGAATCAAGTAGATAAGTCTTTCAGGAGCAGAAAGTGTTGGCGCTTTTGGTGGTTTATACTTCATGGATTGTATGACGAAACGTTCTGGATAGCCATTTTCAAGGAGGATTCTTTTCAGAGTGTTTAGATGCTCTCCCACAATGTTAGGGCTGTGAATTCTGCAGATTCTTTGGCTCATGGAATGGATCGCGTTTCCTTTTGTATATTGTCCTTCAGCCAGAGTACATTTACATGACAAAGAGTATTAACGCATGAAGTGAGAAAAGAGTTTATTCTGAGTTATGTTTACTCACAAATACAGAGAAAGAGAGAGGCGGAATCGCAAACATATTTTCTTAGTCATAAGTCGAGAAAGGCGTTTACTCAAGAATGATTGTTTGTTTATGTGATTATGGAGTCATTCATCACACTGTTAAGATTAAGCGTATATATGATTGGTATTTAGCTATTTCAATTAACATTGTCCTACACATTCTGAATACATTTTAACCTTTGCATTAATCAATTTAAATCCTACTGAACTTCATTTTGTAATCTAAACGGCGATCAAAGTGTTCAACCTCTCTGCCATAATATCAGGTTTGCATATGCTGCGGATTCCATGGCTGTCAATAACTTAACTCTCCTCCAATATTTAGTTGAATTCTACTCAATCACACCAATTATATTTTACCTCACTCAATTTACTTATTTAATTTTATTTTAATTTCTACCTGATGAACATTTTCTATATGACGTAATTTGCTATCTGGAAACAATTTACCATCTTAATGACACATGTTTGGAAGTATTCCTCTAACTAATGTCAGCTCATGATGAAAATCCTGTAACCAATCAAATCCCTACAAACCAACACTTGAATATTCCTCTTTTTACTAAGAAAATTCTCCATACGTATGCGATTGTACAGCTAGAGAATGATATCGCTGGAAAGAGTAATTCTTCTCCTTTCCTTGACTATTATGATTCTAGTTCTCAGAAGAATAATCAACTAGACATGCATTGTGGTGAGATTAAACTTACGCGTACAGGGCAACCTCGCTTCATATCTCTGTCAGTTTTGGGTAAAAGCACCACATGAATAGTAACAGAAACGAGGGAGAGAGTCAAAAATAAACATTTGAGTGTTGGTTTGCATGAAATTGATTGGTTACAGAATTTCATCATGAGGTGACATCGATTAAAGAACCATTGGAAAACATTGGGAGTACTGGACAGCTTTTTCATTCCAGTTTGGGACTCTTCATCAGTACGTACCCAACGTAGGGAGTTTGAACCTAGGACTTTCTGGTTACAAGGTGAGCTCATAGCCCATTAGCCACTTGGATCCTACTCAGTAGCTGGTGCATGGATTCCAAATTCTGTCAATGCATTATATAGAGCAACCTCCTAGCCAATGTCATCGGTGGCGAGTATTCGTCCTCACACCTGCCCTTCTGTACCTCACTGGTCACGACTTTCCTCTAGAACCCAGATAACTAAATTAAACGGGTTAATCCATCAAAGAATTCTAGATAAACCTCCCACGCGTTTGCTGGCTGGAGCATGTGTTACCCAACTTGTAAGTCGTCGGCATCACTATGTTATTTTCGTTGAAATAAGATTAGTTTGGATGAAAGTAAGAACAGGCTTGTGAAGAATATGGTATCGATTCATAAAGACACTGATAATTGAGTTTATGTTGTTTGTCTGCAGTCAGCAAGATAGTCAATGATGGTTAGTGACTCACTAAGTTATCTCTGAGAATCAGTCATGCTCCTCTATATGAATTCGTACTTATTGAGAGTAGTCTGAAGACAATTTTCCTTCACTCACTTCGTCTACTTGAGAATACTAAAGGAGATTTCTTTAACGAGTATCCATCGGTTTAGTTAGATCCAATATCAAATGTAATCAAGATTTGATCATACACAGAGGGTTCTCATAGACTTCTACCATAAAATCATTATAAGTTTCATTCCTGCACTTCAGTGTTGTCAAATATCCGGCAAAGTTAAACTTTCGACACCAATAACAACCAATCAGCAAACGACCTTGAACGGACCAATCACATGTAAGAGACGTTTATGATAAGCGGAAACGTATATTTATAGAAAAATGCACAAAAAAAATGATAAAACGGTTACAATGGGTATGTTTCCCGAACATGGGAGAGAAACATTTCCCACGTCAGCATGACACTGTCAATAGGGAAGTCACACCACATTCTATACATATGTTCATCTAAATAACTATAAATGAGATCCTTTTGAGGTCCATTTATAGCCCTTACTCTATTTTTCAAACGACCCCAAAATCCTTCAGTGGAATTTGTATGAGTCCTTGTAACTGGGTCCACGAAATCACTGGAGTGGTTCACTCTGTGATGAATGTATCCCAGGGATGACAATGAATCATAACCTTTCCACTCGTCGGTATGTACAATTGATCCCGGTTTCACGAGTCGCTTTATAATAGGTACCAGAGTTGTCGCCTTCCTGTCTGCTATACTCTCAACAAATCCTTTTCGGAGGGACGTGTCGTATAAACCTATGACCCAAATGTTGTTCGCTCTCTGACGACCGCGGTTATATTTCTTCTTCACCAACACTGTCTCATCCACATGGACTACTACATCGTCCCCACCTATAACGAAGTAGTTCTGTCCATTCTCCATGACGTGATGTCTCTGCACTGCTGGTACCACTGAACTGTTGAGACGAGGCTGTTCTCCGTCTCGGCAGCAGAGGCTCTCATGGGCTGTTTCAGTACTCAGTAATTGCAAATGTACAAAATTTGGGTTAGGGAGAGATGCGACCTAGCAAAAAGATTTCCTACGAAATATTACCCTCTGATACAAACTCTCTTCCAGCATATTCCACAGCGATGTACAAAACCATCAGTTGACCTAGTATAGCTTTTTAGAGTCATTACACCACCACACGAACAACTTCTCTCCTTTAGAAGCAAGCCTAAGTCCAGGCAATACTGAAAGACACTATCCTCCTTGAATTGCAAACGCAACCTTGTAAGGGCACGCATTGAAATCAATCAAGCGCTATACAATATTGAACTACGTTCGTGAATCTCATTGGATAATTCGACGTCGTTCGCTGATTGGTAGTTATTGGTGTCTAAAGTTTAACTTGGTCAAATATCCAAATCTCAAAGATCCTGAACCTGTCACTAGTTTCAGAAAACTTAGTCTATTGCTCAGAATGCTATGCACTGTAACTGACGCAGCATAGCAGAAAACTGTTGGGCAATACGACTGTTTATTCTTCAACCGATAACGCGACAGAGTTACAGCTGCTGTTATCAAGTGCAAAGTCTGGAAATAAACGTCAATAATAATGTACCACAATACTTTAGATCGTATATCTCCAGTCCTCTGCCAACCAGTACACGATTGACCATTGTTAGCCTTCTTATTTCCCGCCAAATAGAGACCAGTTCGAATAAACAAACGATTCAATGTTCACTGGCATTGACAAGTCTTGTTATCATGAATGTTTTTTTGTTTTTGTTTTCATTTCAGATCTGATTGGTTAGGACAATTAATGCCATTAGTTGGAATGGATTGGACTCATCCGCATATAGCTCATCTGTATAATAAAATTGCTCTTAATGGTTATAAATTTATCTATTTATCATCTCGACCAATTGGTCAAGCTAGAGCAACTAGAAAGCTGCTTTATGCAATTCAACAAGGTAACTATCGTCTACCTGATGGTCCAATACTCCTGTCACCATTTTCAGTGTTGGAAGCATTCAGGAAGTGAGTTATGTGTGTGTTTAAAATCAATTAGATGGTATATTCATGAGTTTATTCAGTCTGATTTGAGTGAGTTGATAATTTCGGATTCTACTCACATAGGTTGACATAAATGGTCTGCTTAATTGACCCGATCGAAAGCTACCACCTCGAAGTAACGGTCAGACCTGCATAAAGAAATGACCAGGTGAGCTACACTGGCTGAAACTAATGCTCCTGAGTGTTCTACCATGCCAGGAAGGTTGTCTGGATGGTGATTAGACTAAAAGCGGTTGTTTACACTAATTTCGGTGTCTGTGGGCGAACTCCAACTGTAACGACAGAAGACAAGGGCCACGCAACAGATAGTTTATTAAGAAAATCAAGAGATATTTATAGATTTTTATATACATTATTGTCAGTGGAGAAGCAACCTCTTCTGATTGGTTATTCTGTTCTGCTTGTAACTGCTTCTCAGAAAGTTAAGCCATACGCCTGCGAATCGTATTTGCACATGTCAAGTCTGCCGTGATCGGTTGTTGAGTTCCTCTAGGTTAAGCTTTGTTATTGTTTTTTCCCATGACACCGATTCGAGACATACTATTGACGTAAATTGTTGTCTGCAATTTCGGCTTGCAGCTAACTCTCACCACACTAATGCTGCGGAATGCTGATGCAACAGAAGTAAGGTGTTCCCGTCAGATGACCACCATGCTAGCTAGCTCTGCTGTCTCTTTTCTCTGGAGTGAAGGGGTTAGGTGGAGTCAACCCCAGAAACTGAACATTCCGAATTACCTTAGGGTGATTTGTAGCCAGCGGTGTGGTCTTGATGTAGAATCAACTTCTAAAACCACTTTATACAGGCCATGTTTGATCGGCGTCAAACAGTTGTCCCCTGACCTCTCCAATTCCACAACACTAATGCTTCTGATGTTTCAGGTATCCTAAGAAGAAATCAACTTCTGTGGTGTTGACAGCTTGGGAATAATTACCGCCGACACACTTCCATAGGCACACAAAGCTTTCCTGAACATTTTGTCTAATCCACCTTCACATAATAGGTGCGTAGTGCATGCCAGTGAATTGATTGGGGTGTTGAGTTCAGCTTAGTAGCTTGAGCACTAGGCTTCTTCCTTTGAGACTTTGAGATTAGCGTAAACTTTCACTACGCCGACTATCTTTCCTTTGAAAAATTCCGTATCGAAGTGCGTTCACCTAAGCTGCCAGTCTTCATAACAGTGAAGTGGAAACTCATCAGGGATAGAAAGATGCACAAGAAAAGATGAAAAAAGGGAATGATAAAAGAGCTTATCACTGTGGAGGTAACATAAACTGATTACTACTGCAACATTCTAACAAACCTTGAATTATGTGATCGGAGATAGTAGGCGAGGTGTCCTGAACCTAGGTTTTGTGCTTGCTAGCTACTCGTCAGCAAGGCTTATCTGTAAAGAACTAGACTCAAGACACTAGCTAACACCTACGACAGCAGTAATAATAATAATAGCTTTATTATGAAAAGTGCATCTAGGTACATTAGAAAATCTTAAGCGTTTTTCGTATTTTATTATTATTTATTTTATTCCTTTGCGTTCCCAATGGAACGCAGGGCTTCAAGTAAGGGCTTTGAAGTTTTGGTAGCAATGGGTTTATTTTAATGGTGTAGGGTTGCTTGTCTAATACCCAACCTTCCCTCTTTGCCGGGTTTATAACCGGCTAAGTGAAGTTCGGAAGTTAATCGGTGACCGGGAATCGAACCCTGGACCACGTGCATGGTTGGCGACTATTCTACCTTTGTGCCACCGACACACACCATATGGCCTCATCACTATGCAGAATCTTCATGCAATACGACAACCGATGATCTATCATTTAAAGCAATACTGTTCCTTCCACAATACTAGAGAAGATTTGTAGCTCAGGTGGATAATTCGCAATTAGTTGTATTCTCTGAGCTGGCCAAAGTGGGCGTCCCCTTCGAATCAGAATCCAGGAACACAAATCAGCTGTGAAAAGACAATATATATATTCTTTCATATCAATGCATGTAGATAATTATGGACACCAAATCAATTTGATTGGGATAAAGTCGAAATTTGAAACAGAGGAAACACCAAAATTGCTGCCAGAAAATTGCTAGAAGTCTGGTACTTAAGCGAATATGCGATTAACAAACATGTTAATATAGACCAAATCTACCAAATAATAAAAAGTAAATCACATTTGACAAGAAAGATCGAAATCCAAGTCAATACAAAATGATCACTACAGATGTAAATCGACTACCAGTCATGAAGATGCAATTCTATCATTCATGGAGAATTTAAATTAGTTCATTTTAGGCTAAAATTTGCTCTGAAAAGGGATGTTGTCCAGAAGGACGACGGAAGCTCCGCAAGTGAACCAACCAGCTAAGAGAACACAACTAATAACTACTCCACATTGTTGTTTCTCCTTTTCTTTCAAGAAACCTACTTGAAATTGTGTGCGAGTATAAACTGCGACTCATCGTAGGAATGATTTGCTTAAAACTATATGAAACGGAGTAAATGCAATGCATTTTGATGGATAGAAAAGTGAGGTAGCTGAGTGATTTTAAACAGGCTATGTAACCAGTTGAAGTGCCCAATACCAAGAGATTTCAGAAATAGATTTTTAATTTTACAACGAGACAAGTTGGCAAGCAGACAATTTTTTTGATTGGATCACACTAATCCTTATAGATTGTATGGATCAATGTCATGTCATGCTGATCTTTCCCTCGGCTGTATCCTACTGGGGTTTACCCAGTAGACTGTAACTAGCCACGTTTAACACACATACACTGGTAGTCTGATCTACCAATTCTCTTGAGTTGAGTTTCTTGCTCAGTCACTGTGATTTGCCCATTTTATGTACTGTTAATACTTTGGTATGCGCATAGACTAAAGAACAACGCATAGTCGTTTCGTTTCGGTTAAAAACTCCTGAAACGTGAAAAAGCAAGACCTTGCTAGTGCCCTTTAATCTATGATTATGAGGTTAATGAGCTGTGTTGGAATTCAAAACCTCCAAGCTTTTCCAACCTTTCATAATCTATGATACGAAATCATCGCCTTGAACTGATATGAACCTTTGCCATCTTAAGCTGCGATCAAAACTTTGCGACATGTCTCAAAGTAGTCAATACAACAGTGACCAGTTGACTGATAATTTAATATTGAGTGTGTAGCGACTTGGTACAGCCTAATTTTCATTGTTTACCCTTTGAGTGGTACTGATTCTTGCAAATATCTAATTTTCTATAGTTTGGTTTGTAAGGATTAGTTATGTCTTTTTTACGAGTTGATCACGGATTGATATCAGTTAGAGAACCATTGAAAACCAGCACTGGAGTACTGGACTAACTGATATCAATCCGTGATCAACTCATAAAAAAACATAACTAACCCTTACAAACCAAACTATAGAAAATTAATCTGATGCTCGCTGGTGACTTGCTACAGGATTGAGTTTCCTGGAGTCAGTTCTAGTGAGAAATCGTGACCAGTGAGGTCCATCCAGATATCACGTGTGAGGATGCATTTCCCACCGACGACATTGGTTGGGATCGCGCTAAATCACGAATTGGTAGAAGTTAGAGTTCACGGGCTGGCCATTGAATCTGGTCCCAGCAGCTGAATGGTATACAAGCCAGCTTGCCTTGTAACCGGAAGGTCCTGGGTTCGAACCCCAGTGGATGCGTACTGCCGGTGATTCCCAAACTAGGACGAAGCAGCTGTTGAATACTCCAGTTCTCGGTCGGTCGGTCGGTTTTTGACATAGAACTTTGCACATATGTGCCACAGTTCAAGTCGCCACACTCCATGTAGCACACAAAGCAAGAGAATTAGAAGAAATGCATAATATAGACAGTAAACAGAGGTGTGAGACAGAGGAATAGTAATAATGAAGAACAAAACAGTTTCATTGGAAATCATAAGTCACAAGGAGTGGATGCATCTGCGCCAGCTATTGAGAATGATTTTGAGCCATATCACCAATTGTTTCCAACCATTGGTTTTTACCGTCTCGAGGACCCCAACCAGGAAGTCTACACCTTCCTACATGGCTTAGACTGACTGTTGTGGATTTCATTGACTGGTGCCATGTTTTCGTTTGACCGCCGCTAGCTCTTTTCCAGCCTGACCCTATATCAGCTAACATTGCCCATTGTCGAGGAAGGCTATGACTAGGCATACGTAGCACATGTTCTCACCATCTCAGTCCAGTTCTGGTTCTCAATGGTTACCTAACTGATATCAATCCGTGATCAACTCGTAAAAAGATTATGTAATTTAGAGCACTACATTTTCAGCTAACAATATTGTTTTAAATTCGATCTTATCACGCTTAACTCTAATATGCCTACATAACTTAACATATAAGTATTAAATATAAACCAGTCATGACACGTTTTTCAATAAGATCATAAGACTGTGCGTGTGTGAGTACAAGCTGTGTAATTAGTCATAATAATAATAATAATAATAATAGTACTTCTATTCATAACAAAGATGAAAAAGTGGAGCTGTCTGTGATAATAAGAATGACGAAAAACAGAATGATTAAACAAACAAATATTCAAGTAGACGTGGTAGTCAATAAAGGCTAGTAAAAACAAATGAACCGATTGAATAATACTAGATTGTAAGCGAAGTAAGTGAAATACCCCCTTTTTAATGAAGATGTGGTAAGATCAAGAGATGATAAAAAAGGGATTAAAACGAATATAAATAATGGGTGGTGATGATATATATTCCGAGTGGAATATATGACTTCGACAATACATCTCCACTTTGACTTATTCTTTTCAGTCCTCTGAAGTTGGGTCCACAATTGCCTATAGTCTCTCACTTCTTCCTCGCAATGCTTCCTCCATTTAACTCTCGAACCATGCCCAACTCGAAGTTTCCCTCTTACTTGGGTTCCAAATGAGAGCCTTCATTGTGCGTGATATCATTCAGCGGATTCATCTTCATTTTCTCCCACATAACTTTTGAGCAATAGATTATTGATTTGCTTGTTCCCATTGTTTCTTGTTGCTCTTTTTTTCTCGTCATTTGGGGGCCAGCATAGGCAGTTGCTGATAAAAGTCTGTAGCTGGTGGTTCAAAACGCTTTTCCTGATGCGATGTACAAGTTTCTGAGCCGTATAGAAGTACTGACTGAGTAAACATCATCACTTGGTTGGATCTTAATTGACCAACGGAAGGATAATGTCTGTATGAACGTCTTTTGAATGCTTATTTTAGACTCAGTAGTCTGAATGCTTATCGCCTTAACTATATGTAGTTGACAAATACAGTGTCCATTACTTTTATTATTGTTTCCTTTAGTTCCTAGAGGAACATAGGGCTTCAGCCACACATCTCCATTGCGTTCGGTTCTCTGCCAACGTTTTCACTTTGCTCCATGTCTGCCCATGTGTTTTCACCTCCTGTTCACATCACCTCCCCATGTCATCCTTCGACGACCAACTTGCCGCTTCCCATTCGGGTTCCAGTCGAGCAATTGCCTGGTGTGTGATGTCATTCACTCAGAGAATAGGCCAATGCACGTCCATTTCTTCCTGCATATTTGTCGCACAATTGGTTCCTGCTGAGTTGGTTCATTCATTGCCAGACACCTCTTTTGCTGATCTTTTCTGACCGGCCATCTGATCTTCAGTGATATATTCATCGAAGACAGCTGTTGATGAAGGTCTGTAGTTTGTTCAAAGTACATTTCGTGACATGCCAAGTCTCTGATCTGTTTAGTAAGTAGCACTGTTTTCACATTGGAACTGAAAATCAGGTTTTGATTTCTCATACTGAGTACTGTTGATCTCCACACAAACTTGAGAGCAATGAAAGCTTGCTTTGTTTTCCCAATCCTCGCTTTGTTATCCTCGTCAGTTCCGTCCGCCTGTAATTGAAGCGATGTTTCTCAGGTAGGAAGGTAAAGGAGGTTGCTCCTTTCAAATTTCTCCCATTTATGATGATTTTTGTCTGTTGTTGTTACTGTTGCCGTTAGCCAGGAATCTTCATCACCTCTGTTTTACTGTACGTTCACCTGAAGTCCTATCTTCTCTGGATGCTTGCATATCTTCCGGTTTGTGAGAAATGAGACATATGTCATCGACGAAGTTCAGATCCTTCACATTTTTTGTGTAGTTCCATTGGAAGGATTCTACGGGTTGCGATGAATCACCTTGAAGGCTTCCACTGTTTCTACAAAATGTGTCGAAAGAGAGCTTCGGGTGGTTTTTGTCTGTTTTTTAATAAACCACGATTAGAGATATTCAGTAGCACATTGACTAAGCTGTCTAGTATTACTATAGGACTATCTAATGTTTGTTTTATTTAATTTGTAATAAAGACCCAACTTTCGTGAATAATTTAACAAATATTGAAAATTTTTGAATCACATCATTTTTATTCCCGTAAAATCTTCTACTTTATTTCAGAGAAGTCATCTTAAAACGAGCTGATGAATATAAAATTGAATGTCTACGTGAAGTGTGCAGTTTATTCCCCAGTGGAAATAACACCGTAGGCAACGAAGAAGCACACGAAGAGGAGGAGGAGGAGGACAGTATTCCTTTTATCGCTGGATTCGGTAATCGACCAACAGATATAGCCACATATAAAGCAGTCGGTTTACAAGATCATCAAATTTTCACTGTCGATTACCTTGGTAATGTATTATGCGGAGATCCAGGAAAGGCGAGTAAACCGGACAACAACAACCAGACAAGTCCAAAACAGCAGACGTCAAATTTGAAATCGAATGAAAATGTTGAATGTAGTAATAATACTGTTGGAACCACTGTTTCTCCGAAAGTCGTCAAGACACTCTCCTCTCCTGAGAAATTGACTCCTACAGTAACGACAACAGCAACAGCGAATACATGTGTGTACGCCAACAGTGTATTAGCTAAACTCAATTTAGACTCATTACTCCAAATGGCTGATGTGTATTTTCCACAAGTCAAGGACAGATTGATTTATGCTACGAAATATTCTGATTATACATACTGGAGAATGTGAATTCTGCTCGCCTCACTACCCATTCACCACACATCAGCGTCACTTTACCTCCAAATGATGTCACTGGCTACAAAACAGCATTTATTGTATTATTGTAAATAGTAACCATGAAAGCCATTCATTTGTTCCATTGAATAACGCTAAACGGACATCCTTCCCCGTATAATACATCGTTATATTTTAGTACTTACGCACTCACACACACATGCACAAAGAGTTTCCACATGTCATATTACCATGTACAATCCAAGTATCACCGACAGAGGGACAGTTTCTCATGACTCAGTCTCACTCTCCTATGGATAGTGTGAGTGGATGGTAACCGTTGAACCGTCGACGTCAGTAGTCGGAGGCGAATGTAACTATTTCATACACAAAACATGAAAAGAAAGATGTACTATTTTTAAAAAACCTTTATGTTTTTTTTAATAAATTTTTGATGTATATATGCATATATATATATATATATGTCGTTTTCTATATATGTTATATAAGGGTATATGCATATATATGCGTGTATAAAGATGACCTTAAGAAAAGCATTGGTAGTATAACACAAGATATTCATCTGTTTGTTCATGTACCTACCACTTAAGTGCTTAAGTAATCTTCTGTTGATATTAGTGTGTGTAGATGTTTACAAACACCCTAAGATATCTTAGTGACCTCAAAATAGTGTGAAACATCGTACGACACTGCAAAACATGGCGTATTATTGAAACATATATATATATATATATAGTATCTTCATACTGATATGTGAATAGAACAGCAGCACTGTGGAAGAGGATAAATCCGACTATAGAGAAAATTGATCAGATCGCCACATTACGGATCATCATTGAACAAAGCTTGGAATGGCAGTCACCTCTCTATCTCAACTTCATACACTTTCAAAAGGCCTTCAGTAGACAGCGTCGATCGAGAGGTGCTTTGGCAACTACTTCGCTACTACGGTTGCCACCGACAATTATACATCTCATCCAACAGCTGGACGACAATGCTGCATGCCAAGTAATCCACAGTGGGAAACTTACAGAATCCTTCGAAGTGAGGACAGGAGTAAGACAAGCTGGCTGCCTACTTACTATCGCCAATGATTTTCCTGATTGCAGTAGATTGGATAATGCGACAGACAGTGGGCAATGAGGAAACAGGCATAAAATGGACTCACACAAAAACTTGGAGGATCTGGACTTCGCCGATGATATATGTCTGATTTCCCACAAACTGGAAGATATGCAAGTGAAAAGCAACAAGTTGGCAGAAGAAGCATCCAGAGAAGATAGGACTTCAGGTGAACATGGAGGAAACAGAGGTGATGAATATTCTTGGACAAGAACAACAACAACAGACAACAATCAGCATAAATGGAAGGAACCTGAAAGAAACAACCTCTTTTACCTACCTTGGAAGCATCGTTCCAACTACAGGCGGAACTGACGAGGATATCAAAGCAAGAATCGGAAATGCAAGACAAGCTTTCACTATTCTCAAGCCTGTGTGGGGGTCAACAGCACTCAGCATGAAAAATAAGATCCGGATTTTCAACTCCAATGTGAAGTCAGTGCTACTCAATATACGGATGAGAGACTTGCACTGCGCGTCATAAAGAGCATCTCAAACAAACTACAGACCTTCATCAACAGTTGTCTTCGCTCAATACTACTCGAGATCAGATGGCCGGCCAGAAAAGATCAGCAACAGAGATCTCCGGGAGCGAACCAACCCAGCAGGAACCGATTGTGAAACAAATAGGCAGGAAGAAATGGAGTTAGGTGGATTGGCCATACTCTGAGGAAACCATCAGGTGAGTGACATTACTAGACAAGCCATTGCTCGAGTGGAACCCGAAAGGGAAGCGGCGAGTTGTTCGTCAGTGCAAGGGTGACATGGAGGAGATTATGTGAAGAGGAGATGAAAATGTGTGGGCAGACGTGGAGCCAGGTGAAAACTTTGGGAGAGAACTGAACGCAATGGAGACGTTTGGCTGAAGCCCTATATTCTCTAGGAATTAAAAGAAACAATAATAATAATTCCAACATGGAGTACGTTTATTGCTCATTATCATGTCAAGGCATTCATACATTTCGGAGTAAAGTCATGCCTTCTATTAACTGTTAAGGCAAGATTAGTTAAGTATCTAACATACCTAACAAAAATGCTGAATAGTACGTCATAAAACAGATAAAAGTAGCATTGGTGCTAGATAGCTTTCCCATGAAATTCATTATTAAATTCAAAAAAGCTCACAATAGGAGCAAAAAATAGTAATAAAACTAATATTATTATTTATTAATATTCCTTTGGGTTCCATATGGAACATAGGGCTTTAACAACACATCTCCACTTTCTTTTATTCTCTGCCGTCTATTTCAGCTGGGTCTACGGTTGGCCATAATATCTCATCTCCTCCAACTTACACGATCTCCTCTATGTCACCCTGGCGACCCACTCGTCACTTCCCATTGGGATTTCATTCTAGTATTACCCTACATTACACACGATGTGATTCTACAGCCTCCTCTGTGGTGTATGCCCAATCCATCTACATTTTCTCCTACATATTTGTTGAGCGATCGGCTCTTGGTTGGTTAGTTCACCGCCGAAGTCTCTTGATGCTAATTCTTTCTGGCCAGCTATTTGGTTTTCAGTAAGGAGGTAGAGAAGGCAACTGTTGATAAATGCGGATCTTGCCTTTTCGAATCTCGCTATCGTTAACACCTTAATCCATTCCACCTGTGATTGAAACGATGCTTCCTAGATAAGTGAACAAAGTGACCTCTGTAAAATCTCTTCCTTTGATAGTGATATGTGCTGGTTATGGTAGCTGTTGGTTGATTGGCTGGTTATCTTCGTCGTACCCGTTTTTACGAAGTTCACCTGGAATCCTGCCTTCACTGCCTGCCTCTCCAACAAGTGTGTTTGTTTTCACCTGCAAGTCTTCAAGTTTATATGACATTAGACATAAGTAATCTGCGAAATCCAGATCTTCTAGAGTCTTCTTATCGGTAGTTCAGCGCATTCCTGTCTCCTTGTTCCCAGTGCACATTCTGACGCATAATCCAGTCTATCATAGTTAAGAATATCATCGGTGATAATAGACAGGCAGCCAACTTGTCTTACTTCTGTCTTCACTTCAAATGCATCGCTGGGTTTTTCGTTGTGGATTACGTGACACGTGGAATTGTCATTCAACCAGCTGTTGAATGAATAAAACTATTAACTGCAACATAAATAAGAAGGAAATTGGGGCATCTATCGTTTTATTATATAAAGAATGGATATCTGTAACTCTACATGAGATTTTTAATAAAGCAGGAAGTAGGAGGGCGTTTAAACTCACTCAGCGAGAAGCTCTGTATGCTAAGGACTCTACTGACCCAGTTAGAAAGTATAATTTAATCTGAAGCATAACTTGCAATCCCTGTGAATTAAGTGGCAGCGTGCGTCGGTGGCACAGTGGTTAGGATTCTCGCCGACAGTGCACATGGTCTGGGGTTCGATCCCCTGCCGACGCACACCCGAAATCTATGGTCAGCCTGCAAAATTTGGGTTACCGATATCCATGCTGAAAATTTCATACTTGTACTGAAAATGAGGTATGACATCAAGCTGTAATTAAAAACCAAACCAAGTTCACATTTAACAGTTTGAAAAAAATTTGAGTATTCGGTATATGATATTCATTATAATAAAGGTTTTTGTATTTCCCAATGAGTGAAAAACAAAACGATATTGTTTTTTTACTGACGTTTGGCTATTTAATGCTAATACCTTTATCAAAGTATTATTAAACTAGAATTTACAAAATCTCAGCTTATATATAACAAAGAGTTAAGAGGTGAGAAGACAGATTTAGGTCAAGTTAAAGGGACATATTGAAAGTTAAAATAACAATGAAGATCACTAAGCCAAATAACAAAGATAATAGTACATCTGTTATGGTATCAAAATGAAGTTTACTAACTTGATCATCGTTCGTCAGTCTGGGGTCATTTTTCGTTGTCAAGTTGTCCAATTGGTAAAAATAAGAAAACCATATGTGGATTGTTCGACTTGATAAGTGTGTAAAATTATAAAACAGTATGTGCTTATATAATGATATTGCTTATCACATTCGTGTTGATTTTGTCACTTCATGGTGAAGGGAGTTGTTGTAACCAGGTCAGATTCTGTTTTAGTTCGTCATTCTAATTCAGGAAATTTGGATTCCACTTGATATGAAGTGCTTCTGATATCAGACGTTCTTTGTGATTTCTGAAGTTTTTCTAGATGATGATTTCAGTATTGTCAAAATCAATTTTGTGGCCTGTTTCTATAATGTGTAGACATGATGATTTTTCAAGTTTTTCTAGTTCAACCGGATTTCTCGGTGGTCGAAGAGATGCTCTACGATATTCATTTCTTCTGATTTTGATTTCTCGAGATGTTTGTCCGATGTATATCGAATCACATTCCAAGCATTTTATTTTATAGACACAATTAAATAGAGAATCTTCAGGGATTTGATCTTTTATATGGACAAGGTTGCTTTGAAGTGTGTCTGATGTTTTGAAGAAAACTCTAATGTCGAGTTGATCGAGTACTCTTCTGATATCGTCTGACGTGTCTGCTCTATATGGGATGACGAGTGTCGAGGTCCATGTTTTCGGAATACGTTTTCGACCATACTTAATGTTGGTGTTAATTTTGTTGATGAAGGTCTCTTGGGTAGTTGTTTTGCTTGAGAGTTTCCGTAATGTTTAATATTTTTTCTTCTTTTTCTTTCTCATCCGTTATCAGAGAGTGTGCTCGTCTAAGAAAACTTGAAACAACTGAAATCTTTGCGCTGATGGGGTGTGACGATCTGAGGTCCAAATATTTACTGGAGTGGGTTTTCTTCCTGAATGCGGATATACTAAAGTGTCCGTTTTCCTTTTTCTTAACTAGGCAGTCTAGAAATGGTAGTGTGGTGAGAGCAAGCTGCTAGCCAATTGGTAGACATTGATCTACGCTGATTGGTGGAAATTAATCTAGGCTGATTCAACAACCGATCACAGCTGACCTAGACGTGGACAAATATGATTCGCAGACAAGTGGCTCGCATTCCCGAGAAATATCGAAAACGAGAAAGCAGAAGACTGCGTTTGTTTGCAAGCAACCAATCAGAAGACCGCCTTCTTTCTGCGGGCAGAAGCCTATTAATGTACGTAAAATACATATAAATACCTGTTGGTTTTCGTAATAAAACTGATCTGTTGCCTGGCCCTTGTCTTCTGTTGTTACAGTAGTTCATCGACGTCTGATTCTGCTTCCGAAGTGAACTGGATTCTGGGAGATACAGTTTATTTTCTCCAGGAATGATCTGTGTAAATCTCGTTTTAGTACTACAAAAGTATCATCTACATATCTTAACCATACTTTAGGAGTGAGTGTTCTTGGAAAGATGTTATTTTCGA